TCGATATTATTAACAGAGCTATAACGTTTTGTTGCCAAGAAAACCGAGCGCAGATTAGTGCAGCATACCTGATGGGACATATAAATTATAAGACCGAAAGCATTAAATTAAGTAAGCACAATAACGGCATGATGTGTTTAATATCTATCACTGATCGCCCCTCCCTCCCCCACGTCTCGGTCACACACCCCTCACACTCGCGTTCTCGCTGGTCGTTGTACACCGTGTCTCGCCTGCACCGCGGCTATCTTCCCGCCCTCCGCCTCGCACACTCTTTGAGCCATTTTTCTTCACTTGTTGCAGATTCCCAGGCTATCCCGGTGCAGGCACATGTGCCACATACTGCATCCCTGGCAATGATCAACCAACGCTTGTACCTCATCACAAAGCCTTCTTTGCCCACTATAAGTGAAGTGATGGACACCTCGGAAAGTATTGGTATACGTGAACACCTGACCGACCGTCATCACTATTATCCATTCGTGCTAATAAGCCCTAGAATGTCAAATACCCGGACACCTATATATATTCTTTACTATGTGATAGCTGCGAAATGTGCACCAAATAGCTTTGCGGTTAATTTAAGCTAGTTACATATTGCTTCTCAACAGCGTAAGGTCCCGCAAATATACGACAAGTATTCCGAGTTCACTAGGGCGTGTTGTAGGACAGAGATTCACACTAATAATTTACAAACACCAGGTTTAATCCATATGGCGAAGTGCACCACCTATGCTATTGTAATTGTGTAAATGGAATCATCTAAGCTGTAAGCCCCTTGAGTCTTCCGTCTAGGACCCGCCGAATAAATTTTTGTCCGTCTCTGATGCGAGAGAAACTTCTCCCTCGCCGACTTCTGCGCCTAGTGGTGAATCGTTAGACTTCCCTGCCTCTCTGCATGAACCTTATACAGAATGTACCTGGTCACATAACTTCATCCGAGAACTTCAATCAGTCTTGTTTCACGTGGAAGAAATAACAGCAAGTATATATTGTAATATATTCTGATTATTCTCTCAAAGAGAAATGCACCATGACATTGTAGGAACATGCAAAAGTTATTACTTGAATAACATTTTTACATACGACTTGTTGTATTAACAGCCTTTCTTTGCCTGCTGACAAAACGGCCCATCTCAAAAGACGCGTTCGTCGCGCGACAGTCCCTATGAAGTCTATCCTCCACTTCAGAGACCAAGATTTTGCATACTAAAAACACAGGCAGTTAAAAACCCACAAATGCTATAATGGACATCAGTGTTGACACATGTCCCCGGTTTGCACCTAAATAAACAATACCACCACTAACAGCAGCAATGGCAAAAACAATAACGAAAGGCTTTAATTACAAACAATACAATACAACCATAAAACACATTGGCAAATAAAATAAATTAAAAAAATTTTGCGCAAATGAGGCCTTGCGAACTCCAAGACTGGCTCACCGGCGGGGCCTAAATTTTCTAACTCTATTACTCAATACTATAGTATTATTCTTAGACTAGTCCACTCCACAAGGCACTTGGCAGCATTTCAATAAAATATAATGCTAAACAAAGAGCCGCAGCCAGCGTCTGGGCTCATCTGAGGTCTGTTGCTACGATATAAACGTAAAATTTCAAGTTCCGCTGCGTAGCACCACATTTGTTAGGCCCGCAGCATATGCAGACACGCAGTGCGGTACACATCATTGTAGGACGCCCCACATATCGCATGATGGGGGTGGGGGAAGGTGTCGTGGAAGGGGCGGGGGGCAGGGCGTTGGGAGGGGGAAGGGGCGAGGTGGCGGAGGAGCTCTAATAGCAAAAGCAGTTCCAACTCATTGCTGTTAACAGTCAACAAAATCCATGTTTAACCCTTCCTCTGCAGGTCAAAGATTATCAGACACTTACTCTATCGCCACGCTCAGTGCGAAAGCAGACTTTCATTTGGTCCTTTTCAATAAAGCCATAAAATGATAGGTCACCGCTGAAACAAAAAAGTTTTTCAATCGCTCCGTCAGACCATGTCCTCAGAAATTGTCTAAAATCTGCCCTGTGCCACTTGACCTTTGACTGTGACCTCCAATTTCACACAGTGATTGCTTTCTTTACCGGATGCTATACAAACAACTATCACGAGCCTAGGTCGAGACGGTTTAGATTTGCTGCCTCGCAATTCTCGCATTTCCTCCCTATACCTTAAGTTAAGGAGGGAATGTTCCCCCTCTTTTACACCTCTTGACTTGACCTTGACCCCCAGCTTCGACATCCCAACTTCCTGTTCGGATTACCCCCCCACGCTCCCGAATATCGTGACGCGTACGTCGAGCACGTAGATTTGTGCCCAAACTGGTGACGGACGACGGCACGACGGACGACGGTGACGGACGCAACACGCAGGCACGACGATCAAGCGATTCTAACACAGCTGCATCTGACATATGTCAGATGAGCCTAATAAATACGAAATATATTTACTACCAAGGTCTTATGTTGCTCTACAACTATTATTAGCCGACAATTTCCTGTAAGTGCGTCAAATGCTCATCGCCAACACAGCTAGGCTGCGCACGCTAGCCTGCCTGCAACACTGACACCATAAATAGGTGAAAGAGAGTAGAGAAACATTATAAGACTTTGTAGTAAATACATTTCGTGTTTATTTTACTATTATTTTTTTTAATTGAGACGTTCCAAGTGCCTGAGGCTGTGGCTGTGCCATCATCAGTCAGTCCACAGGCACTTGAAGCGTTTCAATAAAATATAATGCTAAACAAGTGCCGCAGAACTGGAACTGCGGCTGCTCAGTGGCTTCGAGGTCTGTTGCTAACTCCCATAGACAGTTAATAAACGTTAACATTTCAGTCCTGTGCGCAGTGACCCTTGTTATTCCTTTTTAATGGCGCAGATATGCCAGATACGCCAGTTGTGCTACACATCATATTCAGCAAACATTTTTTTTATTTGCAGAGCAGATTGAGAGCACGAGAGAGGAAGAGAGAGACGCAGGAACAGGAGCCGGGGGCGAGAGAGAGAGAGAGAGGAAGAGAAGAGAATGGACGAGAGTGATGAGAGAATGAGAGCAAAGAGGAAGAGAGAGAAAGGGAGAGAGGTTCAGTCAGACTAAAATTGTTTATAAACAAATAACATTTGACCTATCCTGGCCGGGACATTCTTTCTCACTCTTGTTCCGATAGATGGCGTCCATACTGACTATGGCAGGAATAGCATAATCCCGAATTAGTTGCTACCTTCGTTTAGCCCATGCTGTGATACTATCAGCCAGCCACTTGACACGCAAGCTTAGGCTCTGCAGTACCTCCCAAAATCCATTGGTTGATACAAATCACGCTGCTGAAACTTCTGTTTTATGGCTGAATTGTTGACACCATAACCCTAACCCTATTAAAAATAATAATAATAATTGTTGTAAAAATTATTTGTTGTATAAATGTTGTTAAATAAAATCATGTAAATATTTGTTTAATTGCGAAAAAAAAAAGAGTTAAATGGATAAAAATACAGAAAACAGTGAAATAAGTTAAAATAAACAGATGTGCATTCGATCCAACGACCTTTTCAGCCGCTGACGCCAAGTGCTCTACGCTCGGCTATTCGGGCTTATGCGAGGTAGGACTACTTTATATATATATATTTATAATGTTTGTTATATATTATAGTCAAAATAGATGCGTATGTGTTTGTAGCTGCAGGTGCGGACTTGTTCTTGCTGCCAGTGCATTCGACCAGGCCCCGGCACCCCCTAGTTTTCCCTTCCCCTCCTCCCCTGTTTCAATTTCATCCTGGGGAAAACCATATGTAGCTATATATTGAACTAAGCCAAGAAATAAAAACTAGGCGTTTAGCGGTTATGCGGTTTTAAACACAGAGAATGATTTTCGAGCCCACTGCTTCTACGGCAAAGCCGGAACTACGATGGTTTTCACGCTGCTTCTCCGGCTGCCGGAGAATAATACCAGCCCTATTCTTATTTGAAACGCTCCGCGTCGCTCATAGGGTCTATGTCCCCCAGGGTACTGCCGGAACCGCTACCCTGCGGTACGGTTCGGTATACCGGAACGTACCTGCGTTCACTATCTTGATTATGGTTAGCGGTTAGGATTAGGTCTTAGGCTTAGCGCAGTTCAGCTTCGGGGTTAAGGTTTTAGCGGAGTCGGCTCAGGCGGACTCCTAGACTCGTTAGTGGAGTAGGCCGCCAGGTACGGTTCGGCATATAATAGTAGTACCAAGGACGTTCCGTATACCGGACCGTACCCCGCTACGTTCCGGCAGTACCCCGGGGCGGACTAGGGCGCAAATCCACTTTGGCACCTTAGGTATCCACGATAGTGATGCACAGATTTCTTGTGCTATCATCAACTGATGCACAAACTTTTTCCATATATCAAGGAGATGCAAAAACCCTAAACCCTAACCCTAAGTCATAAAGTAAACCTTACTCCTTAGGTATCACGTTATGTGTTACTGATCACCAATATGTGTTCACGATATGTGATTACTGTTAGTGTTAGGGTTAGGGTTTGGGTTGGGGTTAGCGGTTAGGGTTAGGGTTTTGATCATTCTTGATATTACCGGAGAAAAATTTTTTTTATTTTTTTCATGTGCATCAGTTGATTGATCACACAGAAAATCTGCTGGCATCACTTCGCTGCGATACCTAAGGTGCCTAAAAGTGGATTTGCACCGGGACATAGACCCTCTTGAGCAGCCCAAGTGCCTGTGGCTGTGAGTCAGGCATCAATTAAGTTTCAGCAGAGCAAGGAAATGATGAGATGCAGTTTCACCTTCACACTTCGTGGGGACTCTCTGGGGTTCTTCTTCATCTGACACACACAAAACAAACATACAGAAAGTCAATAACATGAAGTAAATAATGCTAATACTAATAGTAATATTTGGATTCATTTTGAGCCGATGGTTCAATCGTTCTTTGACCGTTTTCGTCCGAAAGATGTCGCTCCTTTTAGGCTATGTTCTCGCCGAATCTCGCGTGAATTAAATTATAAACAAATATGTCCACCGGCATTTGCGCAGAAGCGAAATAATATTATAATCAAAAATACCTCTCGGAATTTGTGCTCGCTATTAAATCATGGGCTCTGACAACAGCACTAGCACTGCTACAGGGGCCGCCAAACCACCGGCTGGAGCTGACCGCAACCGTTCTTCTCCTTCGTGCTCGTCAATCAGTAGCGGCGACATTCCGTACACATTCTACACTGTTGGACGACCTATTGGTGGTATATAATTTGGCTGTGTACTCCTGCAACGGTACGTGCGATTTTTTTTCTCTTAAAGTCACGGTGTGATCGCCAGCGCCATCTAATCGGCGAATAATAACTACCGTTGGCTTTTCGCGTACGATATTATATATTACGATTTTATACGTATATACGATAACCCTAAGCCCTAACCCTAACCCTAACCCTAATCCCTAACCCTAACCCTAACCTAATCCCTAACCCTAACCCCTCATTTAAATTAATAAAATTTAATTTTAATTGTTGTAAAAATTAATTGTTGTTATTAAAATGTTGTAAATAAATCATTTAAATATTTGCGGTTAATTGGAAAAAAAAAACGTTAAACAGATAAGATAGAAAAAATACAGAAACAGGAGAAAATAATTAGAAAACGGATGGGATTCGATCCTGCGCACCATTCATACTTGGCGGCCAGCGCTCTAACCGTTACACTGCTGCGATATTGAATTTGAAATTTTGGATGTGCCTATGTATATCGCCGAAAACAAGTCAACCAATCAGGCTGTCCAGTACCGCAGTACCGTGACTTTAAGAGAAAAAACACGCGACGTACCGTTGCAGGAGACACAGCCATATAATTACAATTATGGCGTTAAACTTATTTGCACGCTTAGTAGTTTCGTTGTGTTGTTTTATTCATTTATCCTCCTGCTTCACGAGCTGCGTCATGGTCACAATTTTATAAATACCAACGCTTGTGTATCTCCGTTTAGCTACCAGGTGCTTTCCTCATAGTAATTGCTTTTGTATGGCGAGTGGCTACTGCGCGTACGGTAGCCCGATCTTAAATGTCTCGAGCTACCGGGTACGGCGATGTTCCATTTCGCTGTTCATACTTAACGCAGACAAAGATGGCCACGGCCGGACTGGCCGCTAGATTTCGAAATAACCGCCTTGGAAAATAAATTCACGATTTAGAGAGTTTAGATGAGCCTAGAAACCCTAACCTAACCCTAAACCTAACCCTAACCATAACCACTAAACCTTAACCCTAGACCCTACTCTAACCCTACGCCTAACCCTAACGCGTAACCGTAAAAATGGGCTTGGGAGACCACCGACGGCTACCGCTCCAGCCACTGCCGTTGTTGTTTTTTGGTAACAACGGCTCCGAGTCTGAGGCTAGATCAGTAGATGCCGGTGGGCTGACGAGGGCTCTATGTCCCCCGGCGGGTACTGCCGGAACGTTACCCTGGTACAGTCCCGCTATTACCGAAACGTACCCTAGCGTACTAGCTAACTATGCCGGTACCGACTCGCCTTACTCACTAACGAGTCTAGGGAGTCGCCTTACGCTACTCCCTAACCTAACCCTTAAACAAACCCTAACCCTAATCCTAATCCTAACCATATCAAATAGGGACAGGGGTACGTGTCCGGCTATACCGGACCGGTACCCAGTACAGGGTGAGTATTGCTGCGAAGCACAAAAACCGTATTGCAATATTATTGCAAATACGACAACAACCGTATTGCCAATATTTTCCCAAATACGTATTGGAAATGTATACCATGGCCAGGGTGATATAGTACAATTTCGTATGCTGTTTAATATTCATCATAGATTGTATTATATGACATGATTTAAATTTCTTTCAGTTTTTTTCTTGAGAAACACGAAGCACGGGCAATGTTTATCCGCCCTGACAGATGCAGCTCATGTGCCGTTAACAATGTCACCCGCTGTACTGAATACGCCTCTCGGAAAGGCACTGACGTAGCTGGAATACACAATTTACCCACCTGCTGCCATAATTGGGCTAATACTGGATCTAGTGGTGCCCCGCCGGACCGGCCCGTTCTCTTTCACCGCAGTGTGTCATTATAAATTCCTGTAGCGGCACGCTCCCCCCTAGCTGGCCGATTAAATACAAAACAGGGAAATTACATAGGGGAATGTCACTGGGGAATTCGCTTAGTCTGAATTCGGCGGCAACAGTTGACTGACTTGACACAGCATTTGGCTGGTAAAGCATGTCATCGTAACATCGTTGGAAAATTTGTTGGCATCTGAAAAGCGCCGACGAAAAACTTGATAAGTAAAACTGAATAACCCTAATACCTCAATGATTACGCCCACCGGCATCGTCTCACCTCACGATGTTACTCGGTGACGCATTGCATCGAAATCCCATTGTCTGATTACAAATTCACGTGCCTCAAACGCGCTCAATGACGCCCCCAGTGTATTCAAGGCATCATTCCATAACATAAAACCCCCAATTGCTCGATAAGCCTAGAACGCATAGAGGCAGAGTAATGTTCGACGTGCAGAGTTTAGCTGACTGCTGAAATGTCGTGTGCGAGTCGCAATCCCGTCTGTTTTTGTTTTCTGTATGGTTTCTGTTTATCCATATTACGCGCTTGGTAGCAAGCAGATGCGTGATATGTTCGATATCAAGCGCACGCACGCACCGTGTACGTACGCACGCAGCCGCACGCACGGTGTACCGCGCACACACACACTCATGCACGCACGCATTGCACGGCACGTGTACGTGCGCACGCACGCGACGCACGCACGCACGCAAGTCTACGTGGGCCACATGCATGCCAGCAAGCACGCACGTGTACCTACACACCACAACGAAACGTACGCACGCACACATTGCACACACGTGTACCTGCACCACGCACGCACGCCACGCCACGCACGCACAACACATTTGTGTAACCTTCACAGCGCCGCACGCACGACGTGTACGTCGCACACACACGGACGCACGCCACGCATTGCACGCACCCGTGTAAGTTCACACGCACGCACGCACGCACAGTCGTACGCATGTTTCATGGTGTAGCGAAATTCGACTCGCTGTAACAACATACACTATCAGCTAGCATGCGTCAGCAAGTACTTCAAACCTTGAAGCACGTAACGGTTTCGTAGCCACAGTGGGCTAAAGCCAGCGGTATTGAAAGGAAAGCCTTGCTGCAACATCCTTGACCATAGTTTTAACTTGGACTGGACACCTGCACGGTCCACACGTGGCGTCACCATGACTGTACCAAGTGGTGGTCCACGGCTGTATATAAGCTGCGCGGCGCCAGCTCCACAAAGCAACCACAGAGCCAGCTTCGGCTCGAGTCGGTGGAAGCTCGCACCTCTCCCCACTGCTCCTCTAGCTGGCTTGGCGGCTTGTCCGCCCTGCCTAGCTGGACAATCGTAGGGTGTAGCGCGAGCTCGGTTCACGAAGGCTCTACGCTAAGGATACACAGCTCAGGACCGATGCATTCACGGCGCCTTGCTGCCCTTCCTGACGCAAGGATACACAGCGCGGAGCCCAGCGTCGCGCTTAGTCAGGGAACGCTCGCACCCTGTCACTGCTCGCGCACGCACGCCAGCGTGTAAGTTCGCACGCAGCGCATTGCACGCACGTGTTACCGTGCCGCACGCACGCACGCACGCACGGCATCGCACGCACGCACGCAGCACGCACGTGTACAGGCTGGCCACTACATAAAACAGTGCTTATCTACAGAACATGTGCTGTCTAGTGTCGTAGTCTGTAATTGTCAAGCAGCACGCTTTTGCTTCTGCCAACCACAACACATAACAAATTACACGTGACCTGCATCTATGACGACACTGTTGAAACATCGCTTATAGGCCTGTTTACCGCGATCGGTCGTGTGCACTATTGTTTTGACTAGTGAATTAGACCGCTAAAATTTGCAGACTGTTTCGCTGGCAGCAATTGCATCCGTGCGCCGGCCTTTTGATGTCGCGCGCCACGGTATCAAAAGCTCGCACGCCGGCGTGATACTTTCGTGTAGGACGTTCCCGCCGGGCTCGCTCGTGCGCCTTCTGCCGCCGGAACTCGCGCGCAAAGATTCGCGCTTTAGCGGGCCAGGATCAACACCTCTCAGGCGCGCTTCTCTGGTATCCGGGTGCTTTCTCTGGATACTTGAAAACTGAAACAGGTGGGGCTGCTTCGCTTCAGCTTGTTCCTACACTCGCGCGCGCGCAGGCCACTCAGCGTGGAGCATCAGCGCTATATAAGACTCCCTAGTTGCCGTGCTCTGTGTCCTCGCAGCCACACAGTCTGCCCCACCTGCCCGGCCCGCAGTGCTCCATGCCGCAGTGGCCCGCTTAAGCTATGGACTACACTAGCGAGTTCTGTACGCCCTGCCCGAGCGGTATCATGTTCGCACATCTCGAATTTACGAACGCGCCTACCAGCTCCCGACGCGCGACCACTGTCACGCTGTGCAACGCTCCACCACGCTCCTGCTCGGACACCCGCGATGCCCCAAACAACCGCGTCCTCGACCTGGATTCGCCTTTAACGGGCCCAGGGCCCCTGTGCCTGCTTGGCAACGACCATCTGCAGCGCTCCGCGCCGTAACGACGCAAGTCGCTGCCCTGAGTCCACCCCTCGCCGCCACCGCGGACATCCCTCTCCTGCGATTCAACGCGGCAGCCGGCGATCGGCGGCTACATTCCATGGGACACCGCACAACCACATCCAGCCCCCCCCGCCCCGTCTTCCGCCTCCCCCCGTCGACCAAATGCTGCGTTCGAGACCCGGCTCCGCCGCCCACGCTCGCGCACCCCGGCACCGACTTATCGATCCCGCGGCCAAAAATGCGGCCAGCGTAGCAAAATCGCACAGTGCGTCCTAGGCCTTTCACCAGGCTAATACTGTAGTGCGTCACCGTCGCGCACGCCATTGCTCGCTTCGTCGAATTATATACACCGCCAGTGCCCTCAATTTTCGAGCCCATTACACAATATAGACATTAAAGCAAGTGTCAAGTAATTTATTTTCGTTGTTATACCAAACCGTATCGTAAAAATATCGATATCGCGGAAGTTGTAATTCGCGATATATACGAGTTTATTCAAATATATTGCAATATGACCGATATACCGGTTATATCGGTTACACCCCTGTTAGTACCCAGGTACGTTCCAGCAGTACCCTGGGGGACATAGACCCTATCAGCATTACTGGGAGGTACTCAGACATGAACTCTCTGGAGAGGGCTTGGTTTGATGGTGGCATCCATCTCTATGGTGTTAGAATATTGTTTTCCTCGAGTAAGGGTGGCAATGTCCGATGGCTTGGGTTGGGTTGTTCGGTCTTCACAGTACCACACAGCGATCCGTGTCGGTCATCTTCGCCCCTGCTAACCCTGAGTCCACGTGAGCAATGGAAAATCTTTGTGTCGTCACACGCTCTCATTGGCAAGGCCACAGCTCGCGAGGCGCGACTATCACTTGCCCCGATCTTGAACATGTGGTCTTTCAAATAGTAGTATTTTGGGGGTATAGTTCACCTATCCTCGATCCTTGATCGAAGCTCTTCTGATCCGTAGTGTTCTCTTTGTATGGTAGGCACTTAATATTGTATAGTTGACTGGTAGTAGTAACTAACACTAGTCATTAGTACTAGTACTACTACTAGGTTAAAAACACTACCGTTAAAAACAGGCAGTATGTGGCGCTATTGTATTGCGTGTTAGTGCTGAGTTTGGGTAATAAACTTACCGAAAAGTTTAGTAGTTCCTTGACGGACGGTTTTCCACTTGCTATAGGAAGCTCGTGAGCTTGTGTGACAGGCACGTGTGAGTCATAGTGGCGACCAGGTTCGTGTACAACAGATACCGTGTGCAAATAGGCACTTAAGCCACAAACAGTATAATCTAAATGCTATAAGCCACGTACATAACTGACTACCCGGTAACCTATTCTCTAATAAACCAAGCATCAACATTATAGGAAACACATACAAGTAGCATACTCTTATACACCCAGCCACGATACAGCACAAGCGCGACCTGGCTTTACAAATGCCAGTCACACTTACTTCTACTAGCGTGGAGTTCTGCAGATCGCCAGGCAGTCTCCTGCGGGTGTCCAATGCAGTGACGCTCGAGCGTCGGTGATCCCAGCGCAGGTGAGTATCAGCGCCAACCTCGTGGGCTGACAGCCGTCGGGAGCTGTCCAGCCACCGTGGAACCGTGCTCTGTCTTCCTTGTCGAACTGCTTCGGTGTATTTTACAAACTGGAGGAATGCATCGCCTAGCGCGTGGAGTCAAGCGCCTCTGTTGCGTCCAGCGCGATGGTGCAACCTGCTTCTTCGTCCAGAATTTTTATGGATAACTGAAGGTAAGAAGGCTGTGACGCTTCTTGAGTTCTGGTGCTCGTGCGGAACCGCGGCCAGTCCCGATTCCATGTTCTCATATTTCCATAGCTTCACACTTTGTCGGCCGGCGTCGTTGGTTTTGATCTTCATCAGTCGGCATCGCGACATCAAGGTGTGATGTCCGCTCATATAGGTACTAAAATCTCATAGTGTCGCCTTGGTGTAGGTGATTACCTTTCTCTCTCTGCCGCTCACGCATATTTTCCCTTCTTTTGTTGGCGTCACCCGCGGGCGCGCGTACACGCGCGGCGGCGGTGGGGCTGGTTGAGAGCAGGACCTGGTGTCCTTCGCTGGGTGTGCCTTGCGCTCGTTACTAACACATAACCTATCGCACGTGATCCTGCTGTACGTTTAATGACCCGTTGTGCGTTGGTTTATGACTAGAATTAAGATAATTCCATATCCTACGTCACTACGACTTGTCCTGCAACCGTTCTGTATAGGCACTGTGCATCGAGCCTGCGTGCGTGTATTTGGGTCATGCGCACACGTTTGTGTGAATGTGTGGTAATATCACCGTGATTATCAGTTATGAGTCAAGTAAAATGAATCCGATTATCTCTATTTTTAAGCCTCATCTGACATAGCTCAGAGCCAGCTTGTAAGAATCAGCGATTGATCCGTCCGCTCCGATCCGTCCGCCGTACCAGTCCGAAGCGTCCGTCGGCCGTCCGTCAACAGCTTGGGCACAAATCTCTTCACACCGCGTGCGACGTTACGCGTCAACGATATTCGGGACGTGAGGCCGCGGTAACACGAAAACGAAGTTGGGATGTCGAAGCTGGCGCGGGGTCAAAGGTCAACAACGTCAAGAGGTGTAAAAGCAAGGGGGGAACATCCACGCCTTAACTTTAGGTATAGCGGACGGAAGTGGCAGGGAAGTGCGCCACACAAATCTAACGGCTCCGACCAAGGCTCAGCCGGATAGTCGCGTGTATAGCATCATGGTAGCGAAAAAGCCGTCACTGTGCCGGAAATTGGAGCGTCACAGCGTCAAAGGTCCAAATACGGGCACAGGGCAGATTTTAGGACATTTTCTGAGGACATCGGCTCTGACGGAAGCATTTGAAAAACTTTTTTTGCTTCTTCGAGCGGTGACCTAACATGTTTAACTGGCTTTATTGAAGGACCATGGAAAATATGCTTTCCAACTGCACGTACGCGAAGAGTAAAGTGTCGGATAACGTTTTTGACCCTCAAGAGGAGGGCGTTAAACATTGACTTTGTTGGACTGTTAACAAAGCACTGAACTGCTTTTGCTATTATTAGAAGCATACGTGCTGTCAATGTTGAAGCTACCAGTTGCAGCAGTTTAATTGCAAAGCCGCAAATGTTGGTTGAACGAAGGTTTACGCTCCCCTTAAATCACTTGACTTTTCATAAAGCAGTTTCGTCTATAGCAACCCTTGCCCTGCGGCCTGAAGGCTGAGATGATGAATCAGTGCAATGCCTCGCATGACGGCCAAAAACACTCGCGCGCAGCCCATGGGACATGGCCACCGCTTACTAATCATCAATCTGTTGCCTGCCAACCTGCAAATGCACCTGGTTAACTCAAAGCCTGAGCAAAATTATCGCCTGCCTGAATATAACTTACTTGGGCATTTTAGCCTGTACCTCACTGTAGGATGTCAGGACGATGCCATCTTGATGTATTGATTACACTGCCACGCCGCCATCTCGCGAGGCAACTATAGGCCTACGTTGTAAATTCATGATTTTAGTTTCATCATGTACTACTTTGTTAAACGAATAAATACATAACGAGCTTACCATATAATATATATATATTTACGGTTTTCATCTTGAATCTTAACTATATCATGTCACGCGTATGGCCGTGCCGTATCCATTACCAGTGTCGCGAACATAAGCTATTACCATAGAATACTAGAGCACTATATATTATGATTTCTTATGACTGGTTACACTCAGGGGCATAGGAAGAAAGTATTATTGTGAGGGCGGCAGTAAACAGGCGATCATCGCTGGGTTTTAATTTTTTTTATAGATTAAGAGAGAGAGACGAAACGTCTTAGATAAGAGAGATGAGAGCAGTAGTAAATTGAGACCGGGCACAGGGCGAAACGTGGATACGGTGTGTATTGCGAGCGGCGGAAACGGGTACAATTACGGTCTGTGCGAGATGGTGTGCAAGGGGATGGGACTGGTGGACGGCAGGCGGAGGGAGGTCGAAGGCAGGGGGAGGAGATGGAGGTAAGGGGGTGTAAGTGAGAGCGCAAGGGGAGTGAAGTCGGAGGCAGGGGGAGGGACGGTGGGACGCAGTGCGGGAGGGAGGTGGGAGAGAAGGATCCCCGCCCCCTCTAATTAAACTTGCGAGATCCACTGCATCATATGTTGAATCTTTTATAAGATAGACCAGTAAAATAGCAAGCTCGTGAATCTCATGACAAAATTCAAAGTGAAGCACAAGTATCACGTTAATAAAATTACAACCAAAAATCCCATGGGGGGGAGATAGTGAGCGTCGTCTAACAATGATGTAGTACGCAACTGCACGTATCTCGCCATATCCGTGCGCCTAACAAATGCTTGTCACTCACGCCACGACTGAAATTGTACGTATCGATTAAACCGTTAGCAACAGACCACCAGCGATGAGCCAGACGCTCTGCGGCTCTTGTTTTTTATTTATTCATTTATTCATTTAGGTAATTATCAATATACATACTGGGCGCAAGTATACTTTCTTACCTCCCATCATGGCGGCCACCCGACTCCGAACCCCTGACCGGGCCCCTCTTGTATTGTGCATACTGGCACGCATTGAATACAGCCGATCACCCCCACCTCCAGCATTGGTAACCCATTGCTGTAAAAAAGCGTGTCAGGGTTTGATATTTTAAGTGCCATCTTTTATGAGGTATGGTTCTTTATTTGCATAAATTTTCAATCCAAACATACGACTTTAATTTTAGGCAGTTTTTTCATTTTTATGGTAAATATGAAAATTAACGAAAAATCCTGATGCACAATTTTGTTGCATACTGTGCTTAACTTGTGGCAAGAATTTTACTCTCATAGTACTCATTGTGGTAATTGCTAATTGAGAAATATCCGAAATACCATTTTACATAAAATTCAAAATTTGTGCCACATTAGGTGCTGGAAATTTCATGAGGTTTTTTGGCTTGAGCATAGAGCTACATCTTATCTATAAATAAAATGTGTGATTGATTCGATTCATTTGCCAATAAACATTTACTCTTCATCAAAGCAATAGTATACCCGTGCAGATGCTTGAGTGTATCATTAAAGCACATATTACTTGGTGTATGTGTTGTATAGATTCTCCAAAACACCAGCCAAAAGGCAGAAATCGCTTGCATGGCTCACCACAGCAGAAAATAAGAGAGCGGGCAATTCCCAAGGACATTGTGGTGGTCAAAGAAGGTGTACACCATCAGCATTCAATAGCTTCTGATCCCGACTTGATGGCACTACAAGAGAATCCAACGTTCCTTCCCATCATGCGAGGTGCACTTAATGTTCCCTCTACTAGCAATCTGGATGCATTGGATAAGCTTGACTATAGACAGGTATATTGGATATATAACGAAGTCACCCGAAATGTGTATTGTATATCGCTCTGTATTTTTTTAGAGTAAGTAGACAGTAGTTTCTCTGGCATTATGGATTAATATGCTTCTGTATATTATATGACTTTCCTCATAAAATAATAATATAAATCAATGACCTCAAGCTAACATTTGTTTCAGATAATGCTATTCATTTTTTGTAAAACAAGAGTGTAGTAGTGTATATTATCTCTGTATAGGTGCTGCTGCTGTGTATGCGGTATCAGGAGCACTTGAGGAAGAGCGCAGATGTTGTGCAGAATGAGCAGAACGTTATATCCAACAGAATACCTGGTGTAAGATGTCACATATGCATGTTTGCTTGATTAAAAACGTCTATATAATGACCATTTCCATCCATTTGGCCAGGGCCTAAATTTTATTCCGAATGATGCCAAGAGAGTAAGAATTCCAGATTAACACACAGTTATTGACTTAAATTATGTAAATCTTATATTAGTAACAGGGCTGCAGCTGATTTCCTGTATATGGAAAATGTGCTCACAAATGTTGAAAGTTTTATTCCATCTCCCGGTGTATTATTCCAGATTGACTTTGCAATATCAACACTGACGAATATGCTTACGGACAGACAGAAAAAATATGCCAAGCATGCTGAAAAGATGCAGAGAGTACACGATATTGCATTGACACTCAATAAATCACAGCGACACATGGAGCAGATTATGGGTCTTCTGCAAGTATGTTTCGTATTTAATTGGCCGTGGCTATGCGTCTGGTTACCGGACACCCAGCTCCCAGGCTACGAGTCCAGTCATATATTTCTTATGTGAACCCAACTATATTTATTCAGTAAAAAAATGAACACTAAGTTTTTCCCCATAACATTACTTACCTTTAGGTATTTTGTCAAAAAAATGTGTTTTTGTAACTTTTAAGCAATAGTAAATCCAGTAAAATCAACGATGCAACGTGTCAACGATTCAACGTGGCCTAATCGTGACGTGGATTTGGTAATCTGTGCTGAGCTTCGTAATGGATGACCGGACGCGTAGCCACTGCGTATTTAATTTAATATCCATACTGAGGTTATTATGCCTATTGCAACCCAATTTAGTTTTCGCATAAGGACTGATAAAATGGGCTGATATGTAATATTTCATTTTGACTCAAACCAAGAGCAGGTAATTCTACGCAATTTCACCTGGCCAGCTGTTTGCATATGGGATGGAGAAATTATGTTGCAAAAGGATTATCCCCCCTGTGTGTGCACATTCTGGATAACTGTTAGTCTTTGTGTGCAGGAACTCAACGAAATGCTGCCTGATGATCAGAGGTTCGAACCGTTCAGTGTTTTACCACTAGAGGTGTCAGCCTCCACAGATGGCTCCTCCTCAAGGCATTCGCCAGTCTCGTGAGAAATGGTGTTACTAGGAGCATAGTAATTTCGGACAAAAACAACAGCCGTTCATGCAGAACGATAAGCCTAATTCACCTGTTTTATACACAGCATTACTGCTTGAACGTTTATTATATATATATATATATGTATATATATATATATATATATATATATATATATATATATATATACATAGTAGATACTCATGCCCTCTGGTTGCATATTTTTTTTTTGCAATCTGCAATCCATGTTTTAAAATCCTCTTTAGGCATGTTGTGTAGTTCCCAATTTGTCTTCTGAGTAATTTCTGTTACTAGATTCATGTGTTTTAATATACTAACCTATATATACCATTTACAGTGTCACAAATATGTATGTATAGGTGTCATAATAGTGTCAATGATGTACTATGAAATTATGGAATGTGAACTCCGTTTTTTTATTGACTTCAATTGTACAATTGGAGATGCTTTCCAACAAAAATAATTTGTTGCTAAAAGAAAAAATGGAATGAAAATAAAATCAAAATGTGCATTTTATCAAATGTAAGATATTTATTTCCATAGAATCTGTCTTTACATGATATGTACACTATATTAAAATATATAGTAAAATTGTAAATAAGTGAAACCTTGAGTCTTGTGGTCTCTTGAAATGCTTGCAGATGCTGATTAAGACAGGAAGCATGAAACCAGTTAATATTGAACAATGTTCTAAACTACATTTATCCCTATTTACATACAGCTAGCAATAGTGAGTAAGCTATCTCATCCTATTAAAGTATTATGAAATATTTATTCTAATATCTTCAAGATTTCTATTCTAAATTCTTAATGTATGTATATAATATAGATGTTTCCATCTTGCTCTAATAAATGTCACAATGTATAGTGTAAATACATGTATAGAGCAGTAAAAGTTATAAACTACATGTGAAAATGACATTTATTTACAAATAGTGGTGAAACACACATGCATCGTTAATCCAACAATTGGTATCGTGCATAAGTATTATATCAGTCAGGAAATCAAAACCATTAATTCACATGTGGCAAACTACACATCAACATAAATGCAGTGACTGTAGAGATAAACCAAAGTTAAAGCTATTCATTAAGAGCTGCAGAGCACATCTGCTCAAATCTGTGGTCTCTAAGAAAAATGTTGATTGTTGGTGAATGTTGAAAATGAGGTTCTCACCCGATCTGTCAACTTATCCACTGTAAAATATCTAGAATGAAGTTAGAGCCACTGTTATATGACCTTTGACCCTGACCTCTTTACTGCTGATGAGTCTTCTGACCGTGACTACCTGTGACCTTACCAGAGTTTGGCTCTAGAATCATTACTGCATGTATGTAACCTGCCATATTATAATTATTGATTGTACTTTCGTAAGCAAATACGAATGGCGTCGACTGAGATTGTTATACGCTGTCTCAAAAGATACACTCTCCAAGTCACAGTGCCTCTATGCTTCACCTCTGTTACAGCCAACTCTGCCTATAGTCGTGTGATGTTTGAACCATACATGCAGCAACAGAGATCCGACCACTATTCAATGTGTTTTTGCGGATGTACTGGATATCTTTGTTGTTACTCAGTTTAAATTTTAACAGTAAAAAGTTGATGCCTAAGACCAAGCTATAGATTCATGACTTTTGAAGATTCAGAGCTGTGAACTTTGCAAGAAGACCACTGACTTCATCCACCTTTCAAACAAGGGAAAAACCTCATTTGTGTGTACACATATTATTAACCATAAACACTGCTATGTTACTGTAGGATCTAAACTGACTTTAGCTGAAGATAATGATGAAAGTTATGCTAGTGTCTTAACTTTGAGTAGTCTCAGCATTAAATATAGGCTTCTCTCCCAGTGCCGATCTGTTACATATCACAAAGCATTATATTTCATTGAGCTGGGATGGTACATACCTGTTCCCGAGTTGTAGTATTTGCAAGGCGTTTGCAAAGTTCAGACAGCTGGTCCATCTGACATGTGCTGCCACGGAGCTTCATATACTCTTGCATCATGGTCAGTGCCTGTGCAAGAGATAAGAAGCTTCAGCACGACTAACATAGATGATTAACAAACTGAGAAACTGAAAATAGTAAAATAACCAATTATCACTTTTGAATGAAACTACTGAATAACAAACTTGTTGCACGAAATGACGATAAGAAGTTAATAAGATGTGCCCGAGTAAATCATAATAGCCCTAGATAAAATTCATGCCTAAGAGGAAGGCCAATCTACCTGATGTATCTGATTCCTGAGCTCATCAGATGAGGAAACTCTATCTGCACTAAGCATGGACAAACGAGACTGAACCATCTGCAATGGTGAGCAACCTCTGTTGTCCAAAACCTTTACATCTGCACCTAAATGAAAATAAGCACACATACAACCAAACCTGCATATAAGGATCATTGGCTGGAAATGCCAAATGTGCCGCACGAAAATGTAAAAACATAAATGTACCCGACGAAAATGTAAAAACATAAATGTACCCGACGAGATTTACCTATCATTGCAGTTCATTTTTAAATACTAGCACCTAAACAAACAATGTGGTGTCACCCCTAATTATTCTACAAAATAACTTTATTACCATTGAATATTTCTTTCAAGCCGAAAAGGCTAATTTGAAAATCATTTTCAGAATAAGTGGTAGGAGAAACAAAGAAAAGATGAATGAGGAACTAATGTGAAATTTAACAGACCCTAACTTCATGGAATAGTTAACGTTAATAAAGATACCCAATGGCAAATAAAAAGACAAAAGCACTCTTACCTGCCTTGAGGAGCAAGGTAATCACAGGTATGTTGCTAGTGCAGGCTGCCAGGTGAAGTGGTGTATTCCCGAGACTGTCCTTACAGTTCACATCAGCGCCATGGTTTAGTAGACACTCAACTATAAAATAGCCAGTATAGTACTGCTATTGGTTATCATAATTTTAAAAGGTCAACATTTTCTTTGCATTGACTATTACAGAAGTTAATAAAAACAAGTTTTTTATTCACTCCTGATTATTATGACATACTGTCCCATTTTACCTACCGGTTGAGGTATGACCTTTGCTGCATGCCAAATGTAAAGCAGTTCTGCCTTTCAAGTCAGCTTGTGATGGACTAACTTTATGCAAGTTTACGAGTTCTTTAACTGAAAGATATCCAGCCAAATTAGAGAGGTTAGAGTTATTCAGTTAAACGTTATGCTATAATTACACGATAGCCTGAATTTATACAGGTCTTTATGATTTGTGACACTATTATCAATAGAGGCAAGGACATATGTTGTTACTACTGCTATTTTACAAGCTTGCTCCGTTAATATGATATAAACAAAATTATTGATTGTTTTTTACGGACTTTGACCTTTCTATTTACTACTATAATTAAAGGGATACTATACACTAGAATTATATAGCTACAAATTTCTATAATCGCGCATTCACATTTGTCATAAAGCAACAGTGAGTTTTGAAATCTTTATTTTTGGCCGCAGTCATGACACCCCGCGATTGTGCTGCCACCCTGACAAAGTTGCGCTTTTGCCGATTTATTTTTTACGTTACAGACCGAGGGCTAATCACAAAAGTGCAGTTATATTTATACCTACCTGCTATTTAACCGAATTTTATTTTAGGACAAATAAATCCATATTATGACTGAATCTAAAAGTTGTTTATAAGATATTGCAATCCCTCACTTTTTAAATCATTAAATAAGAAACGCCCTCGGTCTGTAGCCTGCAGCCGGAGTTGCGACGCACAACTTTGAAAGCAGATGGGCTAATAGTGGCGTCACCGTCGTTGTAAGCAAACGACACAGCTGTTAGTTTGAAAACATTAAAAAAAATGCTAATAAATATTGAACAATGAAATGTTTTATGTACCGTAATTTGACCCATTTTAACTGAAAACATGCAAAGAACATAGGGTCAAGTGTCCCTTTAATTGCACTTGAATTGTCTAACCTGTATCTAAATCATTTGCACTTGCTGCGATCCTAAGTCTTCTAGCTTCTAGAGTAGCTGAAAGATAAACAAGCTTATAACTTCAAATACATGGTCTATTGAATGAAGGTCATCGACCAGAAATTACAGGATCGACAGGGTTACACACAGAGAATATATATTATGAACAAAACAGAGTAGGAATTCATAGTTTTGTCAGAATATAAAGCATTTTACAGGAGATAAGACAGGGCACAATAAACTCTTCTCTACTAGCAAGTAATTTATCTACATACAGACAAATTGGCTGTACACAGCTTTCCTTCTCTCTATCCTGCGGCGCGCTATGGCACGAAGTTTTCCAACACTTTCCAGCCACTGTTTAGTCGAGTATTCCTGTGAACCTCTCGCTTGCACAAATAGGGCCTGTACTTCTGGATGAGGTTGTGGACTCCAGCTCGAGAAATCAAACTTTGGTTCATCTATTATCGGAGCCTAACAAGTCAACAATATACATGCATTTAACATACGTGTGCTCCTTATAAGTCATGTAATATAAACATTACTAAACACTGTGAACAGATGTACCCTATAGAGGTATACATATGTTCATGATAATACTACTAGCAGAAATTGCATTAAAGGCATCAAAGGCACACACAATTGATCCCATGCATTTAATATTTAAAATTAACATGAGGTCATTTGCATTATATTATAACTTCATGTATAAATGCATGTACGGCTTGTAAACTTTTACGCACAGTGGTAGTGCAAGTAGCACTTGGGTTTGCAGAGTCAACTTGTGATATGCATGAATGAAACTGACGATTCTGTCCCGGCATGACATCTGAGGGTTCCCTTGTCTTCTCCATCATCAGCAGTTTAGCTGGTAAATTTGGTTTACCTAGTAATAAAAGTGGTTAAATTACTGTTAAATGACCAACCTACCAATACATTTATCTTGATATATAACGTAATCACATTTCATGATTAAATATTAGTTCCTTTAACTTCATAACAGATCCTTATTTTTCTAATGCAACAGTTTCAACAACCACAATGTTTTATTGTATACTTAAGGTATAATTCATTAATTACTTAAGTAATTAATGAATGTATATTTAATGTATACTTTCCCCTAGAATTTTAAAGTATATTATGATAGTAAGTGCATAAATAATAGCATATACCTAAAAATTTCAATGCATTCACGTTTGTCATAAAAACAACAGAGGATTTCGACATCTTTTATTTTGAACGCTGACCTGACACCGCGCGATCGTGCTACCACCCTGAAAATCCAATTTACTTCGCACGTTCCAGACCTACGACCTAGGGCTAATCACAAAAGTTTAATTATAGTTATACCAGGGTAAAAAATACACGGGAGCGATGAGCGATTCGCTCTTCAAACCTCCGAAATCGCTCCCGTGAGGCTCAAAATAGCTCCCGTAAAATTTGTGACTAGAGCTATTTTTTCCACAGACTTTTAAACAATTAAGAGCCGCAGAGCGTCTGGGCTCATCTGAGGTCTGTTGCTACGGTTATAAACGTAACATTTAAGTCGTGCGTAGTGACACCTTTGTTAGGCGCAGATATGCAGATACGCTTTCCTTACATGATGCTATACACCGACTATCACAGCCTAGGTCGAGCGTTTAGATTTGTGCCGGCAATCTGCATTTCCTTCCTATACCTTAAGTTAAGAATGGAATGTTCCCTTCTTTTACACCTCTTGACCTTTGAACTTTGACCCCCATCTTTAACATCCCAACTTGTTTTTCGAATTACCCCCCCCCCCCCCACGTCCCGACTTTCGAATCCCTACGTCGAGCCGTTTAGATTTGTGTCCAACTGTTGATGGACACACGCACGCACGGACGCACGCACGCACGGACGATCATGCGATTCTACAAGCTGCATCTGACTACGTCAGATGAGCTAAAAATAAGATAACATTTCAATATTTTGGGAATCGAATCGAAGGAATCGAATCGAGAAGCTAATATCGAGATACGGATCGAATCGAGAGGCTTGTGTAACTTTACAGCCCTAATAGTTACCAGGGTACGTTCCGGCAGTACCCTGGGAGACATAGACCCTATCCTATATTATCTTACTCCTGATATTATATCTACTCCTGATATATATCATTATATCATGAGTTAGCTCTAGTAGTAGTAC